TGCCCGTGTATGTGTGCGTGTGCCCGTGTATGTGTGCGTGTGCCCGTGTATGTGTGCGTGTGCCCGTGTAGGTGTGCGTGTGCCCGTGTAGGTGTGCTCGCTGGGTGCTCACAGGCTTCTGGTCCAGGTGCCACTCGGCGGCACTAAGCTTGCTGATCTCCGACGTCATCTTCTTGCGGTGGCCTGGTTTGTTCACGCCGATGGCGGCCAGGTCCTGCAGGGTGCACACATCACACCCCCACTTCCTCAGAGACGGCATTCTCCTCGCACACTCACACATACACACACAGGGGGGCGCTGCTGTGCCCCGCTGGTCGCATGTCACCTTCCCCCTCGCATCCGCTGAGAAGTGTGCCTTTGGTTAGCAAAGCGGGTGAGCATTTGAAGAGAGAGATGAATGGGTGGCTAAATTAAATTGGAAGAAGAAGCAGAACAAGCCATAAGCAACAAAAAAAGCGTTTACAAAGCGCCACGAGAAGCCAGACAGTCAGGCTCTGCTCCGCGGTCAGTGTGACCCGGCTGATGTCTTTCTAGTCATCGGTAGAATCGCTTGCTAGCATCATGCTGACCCTCCCAAACGCTGCATTTTGAGGATGCGCGTCCCTGACCTGAGCAGTATGCTGGCCAGTGTGACCTATAACCTATAACCCAGACCCGGACGAACACCCACCTGTTTCAGGACAGTGGGTGCTGGGTATGGCGACAGGCCAGGAAAGGGCTCACTGCATGAAGGGAGCTTGGGTCACATGACAGCGAAGGGTGGAGGTACGAGGGTGCATGCCATGCGGGGGAGTTTCCAGTAATTTCTCCTCAGCGATACAGAGCAGTTTGTTCAGTGGGCCCGCAGTATGCGAGAGGTGAGGGTAACCCCAGAGCTCGGGGTGTGAGACCCCCATGGTTTGGGTGCAGGGAGTGAATGCGTGTTGGGTTTGGGGGCCTGGGCTGGTCTTACCTCGGGGGTCATTCGGCTAATGGTGGACATGTCATAGCCCTCGCTGATGAAGTTTGGACCGTAGGCTTGAAGCTGAAACGTGCTCAGCCATTCGATAACGGCCTCTGAGCTCTAGGAAAGAAGACATGACATGCAGCCGGCTGTCATGGTTACGCCTCAGGAAGAGTGCCCCCCATGGGCTTGCTGTGACCACCACCGCATCACCGTGCGGCCCATCTCAGGTCTCCAGTAGTCTGCCTCAGTATGCTTATCTTCTCATCAACCAAACATGACTATGCCAAGACACTAGGGGGCAGTACACAGTTTTAAAATCCTGCTTTTCTGCGCTGATTTCACCTCAAGGGTGGTGGTCTGTTACGTCTGTGTGGAACACCGGCCAAAGCATGGAGCTCCTGGAGGTTATTTTATGAGTCAGGGAGGTGATTACCGACCTACTGCAGAGAATTTATAATGCATGCTCAAAACAAACCATATGCTATTGAAGGTATCATAAATCCTCATCTACAGCATATGGCTGCACACAGATCTAGGCACCACCTGTACTCAGAGGACTGCCAGCAAAGTCCAAAACAGGACTGAGATGTGAGAAGGTTGGAGGAAGAGGTCTGACGTGTGCAAGTTCTGTCCTAAACATCAGCGCACGCTTTGTTTTCAGGTCTTTGCTCTGGCTACGAACTAGATACTGCATCAAGACCAACAAGACCAATCTGGACATCGAACTGACTAAGACAAGCCCATCCTCTGAACAGGAAGCAGAACCGTACAAGATGTGCCCAGGCCTGCAGAATCTGCCCTCCTCTTAGTGACCTGGCGTGTCTGATTGAACATCCTGCTGGTCTTGGACGCGCTTTGAGTCGGCTCTCCAGACCACGAGGCGGAACGGCCGCGTCAAGCTTCCTGCTAAAACGGCTACAGCCCTTCAGCGGGCCGAACTGGCTGCCCCCACTCTGTCCTGGGCGGCGCGGGAACCCGGCATCACCACGCTGCCGTTTCCCCCCCCGAAATGGACAACGAGCAGCAATGCCGACGCGCAGCCGATTGTAAACAAAAATGGCGGATGGCAGAGCTGAGAATGAGCAAGCAGATGCAGCCTTGGCGTGTTGTGACCCGCGACCTGCGTTAAGCCACGCCCCCCACCTCCACCCGAGGCCCCCAAAAAGCAGACTGGATGCATGGACTTGGATGTTTTGAACCCGCGATATTTTGAAATGCCCGATCGGAATACCTTTCATCTTCAGTTTTATCTCCATTCGCTCCGACGAAGCACTGGAGCGTTTACCCGCCCCCCCCCCCCCCGTCATACACACATGCAGCACGCCAAGGTCACATGACCCAAACGTCACTCACCGTCTTGCGCTCGCACCCAAACATCCGCAGAACGGATGCAGCCAGCTGGGAGGGTAAGCACCGGGGGAGCATGGCGTACGGCGTACGGCGTACGGCGTCGGCGGGCCGCTGTGGCACTCGGAGCGTGCTCGCCGTGGCAAGCTTACCTTCTCCTCGGATGGCACCTCCCCCTTCCTCTGGGCCGGCGGCACCGCCTCCCCGTATGCCGGCTCGTGGTACGGACAGCTTGGCGAGCTCTGGGAGCGTGACGACGGGGCTGCGAGTGAGGAACGCAAACACAGAAAGGGAGTCACATGTAAATATACGTCCAAGGGTGCCCCCCGGTGGACATCCTCCTCCATAGCACCCGTGCACTGTATCCTCCCAAAGAAAAAACAGGGTCCATCCCCACAGGGATCTTCATTCACAGGTTGAAAAAAAATCACCGGCTGTTCTGAGGGTGTAAGGCTGCTGGCGTAGGGGCTGCGATGGAGAGGGGAAGGTCGAGGGGAGAGGAAGGGAGGAACATCGTGTGGAGGTATGAGCCACTCTACCTGTGGACTGCTCCAACGATTTGGACTGCTCCAGCAGGTGCTCCTTAGCTTTGGTGGACTGAGACAACACGGTAGCCAAGAGCTGTGGCACAAACACCAGCATATTATTCACTACAGTTTGTTTAGCATTAGCATTCTTTAGCCAGTTCTGCAGTCTGCTCAGTACCTTAGGTGTTCGCTGGCTAGCAGCACCAGTCAGCATTAGTCGTCTTAGCATTAGCATTCTTATTTCTAGCACTAGCAATCTTTTGATTGACAAGTCTGAAGCCCTGTTGTGAGTTAAACGACTATTAGTTTAGTATCAGCATCATACATTCATTTACAATTAGCATTCTATTGCCATTTTTCCAGTTTGCTAAGGGCCGCTTTGGATTTTCTTGCCAGCTCTTTTCCCCCCAAGTGAATCATTTTAGCATTAGCATTCTTCAGATTCTGCTTGGCACCATTGTGATATCTCTAGCTAGCATCCTTTAGCCTTTTAGCAGTTGCATGATTAGCATTTTATTAATGACTCAAGGTTCCATCCGAGGGTTCATGTTGTTTTGTGGAAGGGGTTAGCAGCTGTGGTCATTAGCTATGACTGGCTTTCCGGTTGTATATGCTACCTCCACACTACTGTGCTACTTGTGTTTTGTGTAAATCACATCTTTCCTTTCCTTCGCACATGAGGTCATGAAGCCCAATCCTGACCTTGACGCCCTCGGCCTGGGCATGCAGGGCGTGGCTCCCGCTGCCTGCGCTCTGCCCGCTGCCCGAGGACCGGCCGCTGGCCACGCTGCCTGAGCTCCCCATACTGCTGCGGTCCCCTGTCCCGGCTGAAAGACAACAGCGGGATGGTGCGTCAGGGCGCTTGGAGTGCGGATGGACCTCCGGAGTGCGGATGGGCCGCCAGAGTGCGAATTAGCCTCCGGAGTGCAGCTGGGCCCCCCGGGGCGCGGCAGGCATGCGAGACATGCGGCTGTAATGCACTGGAAGATACACTAAACGCCAGGAGGACGTGACAGGTACTGAAGACAGGTGAGTGAGGTGGGGGAGGGCACACAGCACACAGTCGCAGACTCCCAGGGTGCCAGAGTACTGTTCCTATGGTCACTGGGGCTTGGAAATGGCTCAGGGCAATGGGGGGGGGGTTGTCTGGGGGGCGTGCAATCTCATTCCTCGCTGGGCCCAGGCATGGAGATGGCTGTTTGCGATGGCAGCGCCTGGGGTGCCCGTTACCTGCGGTGGGCTTGCGCAGCACCCAGATCTCCTCGCCGATGCCGCCCTGAGGGCCGGTGGTGGGGGAGGGGGAGCCATGGGGGCTGGACTCTGAGCCTCGGGAACCTTCAACACAGAAACCAGCATTAACAGCACCAGCTGGGGGGGGGGGGGGGGGGGGGGGGGGGGGGGGGTTGATGGCCAGGGTCCATCTCCCACAACTCCCTATCTGAGGCCAGCACTGGGGGTGGGGGGCAGTGGTGGGGTGGGGGGTGGTTTGTGGAGGTGTGTTTGCCATTGGTGGTTCCCCCCTGAGGGAAAGAGCTTCTGATTGGCTACTGCATTGTTGTTACCCTGGCAGCAGGTACGTACAGACCTCTGGAACAGTCTGTGACTTCCACATACAACACATATATATGTGAATATATATATATGTATATACCGTATATACCCAAACACATACACACATATATATGTGAATATATATATATGTATATACCCAAACACATACACACATATATATACGAGCAGGTGCATTTAAATCGATTTTCGGATCGTGCACATCTGTGTATATACATGTATATGCTGAGACATATACATCAAAGATAATAGATATATATATATATATGACCCATGTGTATATACCATAATGCATAAATACATTATATAAATACACATGTGATCATATATATATGTAAAGGTTTAGGTATGAATTGCAGTGCATTACATCATATTTATAAGTTAAGGATTTCCAGGACTTTTCAAGCCATTGTCACCTAGTTGAATGGTTTGAAGGCAGCCTGGAATGGTGACACGGAAACACACAACGGATACGGTGCTAATACACGATCGGCACCCACAGCCTTACCTTCGGGGCAAGAATGGATTTTGTGACTGGATTTTGGACCTGAATTCAGGCCTGTACAAAATGCCGACACAATTCCGTGCCTCTGGCGCAGGCCATTTAACCCACGTGTCACTGAGTGTTCACTGGCGGCAGGGGCAGGCCTGCTGTTGTACCATTGAGTGACATGTATGGCGTTTGATTATAAAAATTCAAGTTTATTGTTGAGGTGAGTCAAACCTCATGAACATTACGAGGAGCCAAAGGAGGGACGGGAAATTCTGCTCTAAAGCTTTTCCTGTCAGCTTAATTTCACTGCTTTTTGGTCAAAACTAAAGGTCAAAGAGGCGGATTCAGTGTAACGCGGCCTGACTACAAACTGGTGAGAAACCAGACGACCTTGTCGAATTGACGTCAGCGGTGGTGAGTCCTCTCTGCGGTCAGGCATCCCCAAGCTTGTTAAACACACCTTTGACAGGAAGTTGAAACACTATTCTTCAGCATAGACCAAACAGCACCTCAAAATAGATCCTGATAAGCTCCCACAGGAAGTTATATCTTTAGAGGCAGGAATTAGAGCAGTGCAGGTTGACTGATGGCTGGACGTATGTAGAAGATGGTAATGATGGTGAAGTTGGTGATGGAGATAACGGGGACAGGGGACACTGGGACTGGTGACAGAATGACAGACAGGACGACAGGAGCAGGACGAGGGCATCGAATTTGGACACGTTTGTCAGTGTGTGCTGTTTGGACGGGTTATGGGAGCTCCATGTAGGGAAAGTATTTGGACAAAGGACTCCTACTGCGCGGGGTGCGGATGAACGGGACACAGCAGGAAAGTTTTGTACCTGTGCCTTAGTCAACAGAACGGGGCTGTCACGGAAAAACAAACCAGATCCTGTGTGTATGGAGCCTCCAATCATTAGAGCAGGGAATATGGGCTGGGGAGGGCGCGTGGGGGGGCGGGGGGCAGGGGGCGACCCGCCTCCCTTGTTTTTGACAAGTCAGAGCAAACTTACATGGGCTAAACCAGGATGTACCCCACTATACACACAGAAAACATACAGGTATCCAATAACTGTAGTATATCTATATCATGCCTATAATATATAAATGGTATACGCTTTAAGCTACTTTTGAATTTTGTTTTATTAAATAATACTTTAACGTAGCAGAGGATAGCTTAATCTTCAAAAAAAAACTTGAAGGAATGTTTCTTAGCTCCAGTGGAATATATTTTCAAACGTTTAAAGTGTGACTTTCCAATTGGACGAAACTGAGAAGGCGGGGGAAGCCGGCTCCAATCCCGTACTCGGGGTAAAAACAACAACACTCCTTCGAGTTTTAGGAATGATAGTGACAGTGATGCTAAGGATGATGACAATAGTAAAGAGCGGCGGCAGGAGCCGAGCCCGTGTCTGTACCTGGTGCGGAGAGTGGCTCTCCCGGGGCGCTCTGGGACCTGCTATAGCCAAAGGAAGTGAAAAGGGGCTGATGGGAATGTGTTGGCGGTGGCGGTGGAGGCGGCGGCAGGGCATGATACTGATACGAGTCCCCGTTGAGCACGGCGGGCAGGCCGCACACGGGCCCACAGAGCTGTATCTTTTGATACTGTTGGGCACAAATGACTGTGTTCCATGAACCTGGGGTGCGACAACACAACGACGACGACGACGACAACGACAGAAACGACAGACACGACAACAAAAGAAAGAGGTTTTAAGGGAGGAAAGCAAAAAACAGAACAACAACAAAAAGAAACTAAATCCGCCCGACCGACATCAACAGGAGGCAAAGATTAACAAAAAGAAAGCCAAGAAACTCAAAGGGGCCATTTAGGTCGTCCTTATGCCTTGTCCTGATGCTCATTTGGGGTATTTTCAGTACTGGGGGGGGCAAAAGACCACATTTAAATGTATACATTTATATATGTGGGAGTGTAGGTGTCGTTAAATGTGTCTGGGGGGGGGGGGGGGGGG